TGATTTTTTACTCTTTCTCTCTGTACACATGCGTTCTTCTATGAAAAAATACTTTCTTACTACAGTTCGTGCTTTTGATTTGTTAGCATCGTCTGATCTCTGGCTTACTTTATTCCCTGCGTAGTTTAATTTTTTCTGTTCGTCTCTTTTTTGTTAGAAGCACGTTTTCATTTTACCAAGACCTAAGCTATTTCTGTCGCTGGAAGTTTAAAATTTAGTACGAATTTGCGAAAGTTTGCCCATCAGGCTTTGACGTTTTACGCGCGTCTATCGTCCTCCTCACTGTCTTTTCCTTAGACCTGTGTTCTTAAAAGCCTTAAGGACGGGTTTGGACTGAAAGTACCACTTTCTCATTGGAAATGATGATCATATAATGTCGTGATCAGTTGGGAAACAAGTTGCTTGCTCTGCCTAAAATGCCACAAACTATGTATGCTAAATGGGATCAACAATCTTTTTCTGTTGTTTCTGGGATTCGTCTTTTTATTTTACGACTCTGCTTGTCCAAAAACTATTTATTAAAATAGTGCCGTTTCCACTTAATGTTATCCCTCCTACTACTACCCAACATGTACAGCAACAAGGATCCATTCTGCATCAATTAAAAAAGTAGCAATTACTACGCTCGGTTTACAACCTGACAAGCAAAGCAGACAGATATGAGTGTACTTGTTATGTTGTAGCCACCGATTCACGTTTGTATACTTTACCTGGCAACCATCTGCGAAGCCTCAAAGCGGCGGAAGCTCTGTTCTACAATGACGTATATGGCTTTCACTAGATATTTTTGTTGAGCTCTTCCGACTCATTGGAGCGTGAGTTATTGACGAGACTAAATTTTGTTCAGATATCGGGCCCTTATAGATGTGGGTGAGAAGTCACTGTTGATAACAAGAAAAATAAGGACAGCATTTAAGTACCCCTGGTTGCCCGGGTAACCTCACATCCCTGAAAAGTACATAGCATGTTCCTTTAGAAACATACCTAGTAAAGTGTGGATAGTATTTATTTTGTGCAGGTCTTTTTAGCTTACGAGATCTTGCCGCATTGACTTTTATTTGGATTGGGAAAGGCAGTCAGCTTCACCAGGTAAAAATGCCTCATTTGGACGTGCAGCAGGGAAGTAGAGAGATCAAGGCTAGTGTTTTTATGAGGAGCACGATAAACCAATATGAGCAGCCATTTTATCATTCTTTCTGCGAATTTTAACGCCGTAGTTCAACCGTTTCCGCTAACCAAGGGTGTTGCCTTGAGATGATAGTCTCAAACCCCTGAATTTTATTACTTTTTTGCCCCCATCCACCGCTATACTTTGATTTTATTGGGCTTATTTAGAAAATTCTTACTGGGGAGGCTTGATAATTTGAGCCATTTGTTCCTTCGTTAAATTCTTCGCTCCCTTTCTTAAAATTTAGCAAAAAGTTTCCTCGTAGGCCTATAAGATGCAAGCTCGTAAGGGTTTCT